AGGCCTTTCCAGTTGTGTCTTTGCCTTTGTGTCTCGCAGCGTCCGAAGAAATCTCCTTGCAGCTGCCTGCGAACGTCCTGGCGGGGTCCGAGCGGGCCCACGTGACTGTCCTGGGTAAGGAATTCCCCTGCCCCACCCCTGCCAGGGCGCGGTGCCTGCCCAGCCAGCCCGGCTGTGCCCAGCGCTCCGGTCAGAGAGCCAGGGCATCACGGACGGGAAAGCCCCAGGAGGTGGAGTGGGGGCCTTGGGCTGGGGCAGGACCGGTCCTGCAGTCTGTGCTCCAGGGCCTTGCCCAGCGAGGGGCCGCAGACTCACACGGTGGTGCCAGGAAGCTGTGCCAGGGCATTGGCCTCTGGGCCATTCCTCACCAGCTACCCACGTAACCCCCCAGGCTGAACTGAACTGGGGGCTCAGAGCCCTGGGTGCCAGGGCTCCAGGGACACGGAGTTAGGGTCGGGCAGCTGTTGTTCAGCCTGGTCATTCTCTGTTCCCCGACCCCTTGGTGGCAGGAGACATAATGGGCGCGGCTCTGCAGAACATAGAGCACCTGCAGCCCATGTTCTTCGATGATGGAGAACAGAACATGGTCCGGTTCGCTCTCAACATCTACATCCAGCAGTACCTGGAGAAGAGCGGGCAGCTGAGCCCGGAGATCAGAGACAAGGCCCAGGGATTCCTGCAGAGCAGTGAGTGTCCTGCCCACCTCCACCCCCACCCCCTGGGTATGCTGGGGCCAGGGCAGGGCCTGTCCATGCCATCTCTGGGCCTGGGTTCCAGTCCAGCCCCAGCTCTGGGCACTGGCTGGTCAGGGAATGGGATCCTGGGCCTTTCCTTTCTGGGCTGCAGCTCCCACCCAGGTGCATGTGGAGTGTTTTGCTCAGGGGTCCGAGTGAGGGGGAAGGCGTGTGGGCAGGCTGGAGTGGATTCTAGTCCATTCAACGAGCAGATCCAGGACTCAGTGCGTCTCTCCCACCCCGCAGGGTACCAGCGCCAGCTTCACTATAAGCACAAGGACAGCTCCTACAGCGCCTTCGGGGAGAGCGACTCCACGGGCAACACCTGGTGAGGGGCTGCCCTGCACGGGCGAGGCAGGGCTCTGGGTGGGGACAGGACAGACATGGGCTGCAGCCTGACCCCCAGCCCCACTGTTATTCCAGTTCTGCTCCCCACACAGCTCTGCCCCACGGCCCTCTCGCCGATCCCCCAGTCCCACCCTGGGTTCCCCTGACAGCTCTGCTCATCCCCCCATATGCCGAATCCCCCCCAACCCTGGCCCTCCACATGCCTCCTTCTTGGCCTGCAGCCTCTCCGGCAGAGGGTCCCTCAGCCCCAGTGGCCGAATGCAGCCCCTGGCTTGCTTGGATCTGGCCCCCAAAGCTCAGCATTGGGGAGTCTGTGCTGGCACCCCAGCTCCCAACCCACAGGGCTGGAACACACGTCTACTAGCCTGCCCCCCCGGTTCTGGTGTGCAATGGGACCAAGGGAAGGGTCTTTCTCCTTCTCAGTAAGGGGCGTCTCTTTGCTTCTCACTTGTGTGCAGTTCCCTGACTGATTTTTCTGTGGGTCAGTGGGCCCCACCTCAAAATGGTTCCCCACCCCTGCTATAACGGGTCTCTCCCCGCCCAGGCTGACGGCCTTCGTCCTCAAGTCCTTTGGCCAGGCCAGACCCTACATCTCCATCGACGAGAAACACCTAAAGGATGCCCTTGGGTGGCTGCAGCATCACCAGCTGGAGAGCGGCTGCTTCCGCATAGTGGGGAAGCTGATGAACAACACCCTGCAGGTGGGAGGCCGGGGGGATGGGCTGGTGGAGGGAGAAGCTGGAAAAGTCCCTGGGGCTCCCCACGGCAGATGGTTGTTGTAGCCTGGTTTGGTTTGGGGGTTTCCCTGGGCTTTAGTGGCAGCTGAATGGCCCGGGCAGCCAGGTCAGAGGGTTTTTTCAGGAGGGAGCAGCCCTGGTCCATCCACCCTGGCTCCTGAGCAGCCCAGGCTCCCAGCTGGCACCGAGCAGACCCCACACCCATTGCATGGCACGGAGAGCCTGGTGGGCCCAGCCTGGCCCTGTAGTCACTTGACTCCCATGACACCCCACACGGCTGGGTCAGAAGAGCAGTTCTGGTGCATCATGGGAGATGTAGTCCGAAGGACCCAAGTCCCTGGGCATTGGGGCACAGGGCAGGTGCACTGAATGTGGATCTGGCTTGTGGTGAAAGGTTTCCACTCAGTCTCCGATCCCAGAGGCTGCGGTTTGGGCCCCGCTGGTCCCCAGCTGTTTGCAGGGGCCGGGTCTCTCTGGGAGGGCTGGGGCCGCCCCGGCCGCTTGGGAGCTAGGAGGAGACAAATCTCAGGCACAGTCTGGATTCCCGCGCGGGGGACGATTTAATGAGCCGGAGCTTGCCCGGGGGGGGCGAATCCCTCAGCTGCTCCAGGACCGGCCCCGCGTCTCCACAGGCGTCTGGGGAACGTCCCTGCAAACCCGCAGCCCGGCCCTGGCGCAGGGGCTGAGGGAGGATTTCACACGGGGCCAGTGCAGCCGTGGCCATGGAGCCATTGCCGCCTCTCGCGAACTAGCCCCTGGGACTCACTGCCACAGCCTGGCCTCCCGGGCTGCTACGACCCACGTGGGCCTGACAGGCCCCAGCAGGAGGAGGGGCCCATGCAAGCCCCCCACAGCGCTGGAGCCAGATCTGCTGGCCCTACAGGCCTGGCCTGAGGTGGCTCCCGGTGTCTCCATCTCCCGCAGGGCAACATCATGGATGAAATCTCTCTCTCGGCTTACGTCACGGCAGCGCTGCTGGAGCTGGGGCAGCCGCTCACGGTGAGGCCAAGCCCTGCCTTCCTGCCGGGGCAGGGACCAGGGCACTGGGGGGGCTCAGGGCGAGGATATGGGGGTGTCAGGGCGATGTTCGGGGTACTGGAGATAGGAGGAGGTGTTGGGGGAGGGGGTGCTGGCAGTCTGTTGAGTTGGTACCAAGGCCTGGGGCAGGGTGATGTGGGGTGTTGGGCTGGGGTAGGGCAGGGAGATTTGGCAGGGCTGGCAGTCTGTTGAGTTGGTACCAAGGTCTGGGGCAGGGTGATGTGGGGTGTTGGGCTGGGGGTAGGGCAGGGAGATTTGGCGGATGAGGAGGTGCTGGGCTAATTTCATGTCTAGAGCTCAGTGGGGGAACCTGGGTGAGGCTTGTGGGGGTGCTCGGTGCAGGTGACGGGGGCAGGGACGGGCTGGGACAGGTGAGAACTGGCTGGCAGGTGGAGCGCTGTGAGGGTCCATGGGCTGGGAGCCGGGGGACACGCCCAGGCGTGGGGCGTCTCCCCTGGGCAGCTCAGCCTGATGGGGCGTCTGTTGGGTGTCTCCCCCGTCCCAGGACCCCACGGTGACCAGGGCCCTCCAGTGCCTCCAGGAGTCCTCGCGCACCAGTGACCTCTACACGCGGGCGCTGCTGGCCTACGCCTTCGGGCTGGCGGGGCGCACGGAGCTGCGGGATGCCCTTCTGCAGAGCCTGGCCCAGCACAGCATCAGCGCCGGTACCGCAGCGCCTCGCTCCACTGCCCTTCCCCCTGGCGGCCTTCAGACACAGGGCAGGGCTGCCCCCCATGGCCCTGCCCACACACTGCCTCTGCACTTAGTGACGGCTTTGCCCTCAGCATTTTGGCTGGGCCCTGCTCCCCTCCTGTCTCCAGCCCTAGGGCCCCGCACTCCAGGACTCAGTATCCCCCTGTACCAGCAGTGGCCCCAGGCACAAGCAGGCTGAACAATTGCATCTCATGGGGTCTCCACTTTTATCTTCCTCCACCAGCCGCTCATCTAATGAATGTGGCCTGTTTCCCGGGGGTGGGGGACAGAGATGGATTTTGGGTTGTGGGGGATATACCTGCTACGCGTCACCGCACCTCAGGCTTGGGGGGGTCCAGGCAGTCAGGGCTTTTGACTCAGCAACAGTAGTTCCAGGATTTTGAGCCAGAGACCTTACGCATAATGGGGTCTCCACTTTGATCTTCCCCCACCAGCCGCTCATCTAATGCATGTGGCCTGTTCCCTGGGGGTGGGGCTGGGATGGATTTTGGGTTGTGGATAGAATACAGCGAATATTTCTAATGGGCTGGGTGGGAGGGATATACCTGCTTATGGCAGTCGGTGAAGCACAGGGCTGGGCTTTAGTCTAGGGAACAGCAGCTCCAGGGTTTTGAGCCGGGGACCCTAACAATGACCAGCCCAGTGGCCTCCTGTTCTCCCTGTGTAGCCCTCCAGTGCCCTGGGAACCAGCTGCTGTGTCCTGCCCCAGAGGTGGCTGCATTCGGTGGGGGGCAGGAATCCCTCTGGCCAGGGAAGACCCACGGTCCCTTTGCCAAGCAAACAGGTGACCCGCTGTGTTGTAACTGCAGCCGTGGGCTGCCCTTCCCTCGGCCCCTCTCCTAGGGGGACAGCTCCACTGGCGGAGGCAGGTGAAGGGCCTGCCCAGCCCCGAGTCCCACCGGAACCATATGGTGGAGGTGGAGCTGACGGCTTACGTGCTGCTGGCCCATCTCTCCCTGCCCAACGTGTCTGCTGCCGACTTGGCGACCGCCTCCCAGATCGCCCGCTGGCTCAGCAAGCAGGAGAATCTCTACAAGGTCTCTGTCAGCATCACAAGAAATCCCGATCCTGCTGCAGAGAGTTGGAGGCGGGGTCCTGTTGTCCCCTCGGTGACTCTCCTGCCCCAGAACACGGTGGTGGCCCTGCAGGCCCTGGCCAGATACGCAGCCCTGACGTACAGCGCGAGCGGGACGGTGTCGGTGACCGTGAGCTCCCCGGCCGGGGCCCGGCAGCAATTCCACGTGGAGAACGCCAACCGGCTGGAGCTGCAGCGAGCGGCCCTGCAGGAGATCCCCGGGCAGTACACGGTGCAGGCCAGCGGCAGCGGCTGTGTCTTCGTGCAGGTGAGGGCAGGAGCCCCTGGGGCCCGGCGGTGAGTGGCTGTGCCCTGGGACTGCCCCACGGCTGGGCCCCACGGTGCCAGGCTCCGCCCCAACCCTCTCACTTTTCTCCCAGCTGATTCTGTGCTACAACGTGCCGCCCCCCAAGAGCGCCGCCACCTTTGAGCTGCGGGTGGAGACGGAGCCGAAGGAGTGCAGCGAGGGCGCCGCATCCCGCTTCAGCCTGGCCCTGCACGCCCGGTACCAGCCCGGCCCCCCACCCGCTGGGTCCGACTCCGGGGCAAGGACAGGCCCAGGCAGCGGGGAAGGGGCTGGGCAGAGCTGTCTGTCACACTCACAGGGCACCCAGCGGTCCCAGGGGTAACCCCCTTCCGTGGGGATCCGCTCTCCCCTGGGGGCTGAGCCCCTCCCCCGTTTCCCCACCTCTCTGAGCTCCAGCCCGCCTGGCTCTGCCGTGGGCCCCTCAGGGGGTCCCCTCGCTCTGGGCCCCGGGGCCTGCACTCCCAGGGGATGGCGCAGCCCTGTTCTCTAGTCCGCAGCGACTCAGCCAGCGTGAAACAGGAGGTTTATTGAGCTGGCTGGAACCATCCGTGTCGTCCGAGCTGGGTCCGCAGGCCCCCAATTACTGGGGTCTGCACCCTCCAGCCACTGGCCAGGGTCCTGAATCCCCTTTCACCTCGTAACACCAATAACCCAGGGACACCCCTTCAGCGTGGAAACACTTTGAACCCCAAATCCCCCTGAGCACATCGTCCTACTGCAGGGCTGGGGGGGAGGGGCTGGGGGAGCCATTCACCCCCAGGGCTCGGAGCCCCTTGAAATCTTAGAATCAGAGGGTTGGGAGAGGCCTCAGGGAGTCGTTGAGTCCGAATCCAGCCTCCCGCCCAAAGCAGGACCAATGCGCCAGGCAATGACGGGCAGGTCCTGGGGCTGATCTGGAGCAGTCGGCTCCCAAGCAGCTCCTGGGGCCACTGCCCTCTGAACTACTGGGGCTTTAAAAACGGCGGCGCCCGGCAAGATGCAAATGAAGCCCAGGATATTTAAATCCCGGGCTTCATTTGCAACTTCGGATGACTACATTAACCACTCTAGTTCGAACTAGGGTGGTAGTGTAGACATACCCCCAGGGACACCGAGAGTCACCCCTTCTGCGTGCAAAGCCTTTGAACTCCCCAACCCTCACCTCCACACACCGTCCTACTGCAGGGTTGGGGGGCTGGAAGTGCTGGCGGAAACATTCACCCTCAGGGCTCGTAGCCCCTTGAAATCACAGAATGAGGGAGTTGGAAGAGGCCTCAGGGGGTCGTTGAATCCAGCCTCCTGCCCAAAGCAGGACCAATGCGCCAGGCAATGACGGGCAGGTCCTGGGGCTGATCTGGAGCAGTCGGCTCCCAAGCAGCTCCTGGGGCCACTGCCCCTTGCTCAGGCTGGCTGGGACATGGGGGGTTCACAGTCCAAGACAGGCAGAGGGCCTGAGACGCCTGCAGGGCTGAGAAGATGTGAGGCCTCCCCTGCCCCTCCATCCCCCCTCCCCGGGCTCTGTACCCAGGGCTGCCCTGGCCTCAGCCCCGGCTCCTCTTGCAGGTACAGGGGGGAGCGCTCAGCCACCAACATGGTCATTGTCGAGGCCAAGCTGCCGTCCGGCTACGTCCCTGCCAAGAGCTCCCTGGGGCAGGTGAGACCAGACAGTGCCAGTCACACAGTCCGAATCCAAGGACTGCGCCGGGGCCACTGCCCCTTGCTCAGGCTGGCTGGGACACGGGGGGTTCACAGTCCAAGACAGGCAGAGGGCCTGAGACGCCTGCAGGGCTGAGAAGATGTGAGGCCTCCCCTGCCCCTCCATCCCCCCTCCCCGGGCTCTGTACCCAGGGCTGCCCTGGCCTCAGCCCCGGCTCCTCTTGCAGGTACAGGGGGGAGCGCTCAGCCACCAACATGGCCATCATCGAGGCCAAGCTGCCGTCCGGCTACGTCCCCGCCAAGAGCTCCCTGGGGCAGGTGAGACCAGACAGTGCCAGTCACACAGTCCGAATCCAGGGACTGGTCCATGGGGAGAGCCCAGCCCCCCAGGAGAACACAGATTGCAGCTCTGACCCCCACAGAGCTACCCCCACAGCGCCCTGCCCCCCGCAGCACAGCGCCCCCTAACAGCCGTGAGGCGCTGCACAGCCCTGGGTCTCCCATCCCGTCATTGAGCAGCTCCTGCCCGTGACTAGCTCCCCTGCAACAAAGCGCCCCTATCTAGACCCTCCCCCTCCCAGAGCAGCCCCCTAGTGACCTGGGGGGTGACAGCCAGGCCCCTGGGCCATGGAGGGTGTTTAGGGCCCCATGTCCCACCCCCAGCCAGGCAGTGAATCCGGTCTCAGCCCCTCCGTGCGAGGCTCAGCCGTTTCCTCCCCCCGCTCCTAGCTGGAGAAGCAGCCCTTGGTGAAGAGGCTGGAGGTGCAGAAGGACCAGGTGACCATCTACCTGGACCAGGTGAGTGCTCAGGGCTCTGGTGCCAGTGGGGAGGGTGTGTCCTGCGCGGGCTCCATCCCTGTTACCACTGCTCTGGTTGGCTGCACCACACTCAGGTGAAATCTCCCCCCCATCTCAAGCGCCCAGTTTCCATGTAGGAAGGGGAGTTGGGACCAGCCTCGGCCAAACCCCAGAGAGGGCGTGAAGGGGTCTGTGGGGAGCTGGGGGAGACTGGAGCCAGGCCCTGAGTGTGATGAAAGGGATTCGCACGTTGCAGGGGTAGAACGGGGATTCGGGGGTGGATTTTCTCACTGCTCCAGGCCAGGGGCAGAGGGAAGCTGGCAGGGCCGGGCTGGGCCACCCACAGGGAGGGGTCCGAACTGTCAGTGCAGACGCTCAGCCCGGGCGTTCGCTCTGTCGCTCTCTCGGTAGCTGACGAAGGAGGCGGCGAATTTCACCTTCTCCCTGGAGCATGATTTCCCTGTGAAGAATCTCAGAGCAGCCCCTGTGAGGCTGTACGATTACTACGGGCCGGGTGAGTCCCGCCTGGGGCCTGCCGTACCGCTATTCTGGGGGGGCTGTGCCACACTCAGTGGGGATGGGGGGGGAAGTCACTGAACTTTTCCCCATCCCAAGGGCCCCAGATGACTCAGGTCGGAGCCTTCCCAGGTTCACTCTGTGGGACTGGCTCATGGGCAGGGTCTCAGGAGCCCAGTGTTCGTCGGGTCAGTGGGGACACTTCAGCTAGTGTAACTGGGGCCGTCCCAGCTGTAGGAATCCTGCCCCTCCAGGGCCTGTGAGGAAGTGAGAGGAGGACCTGGCAGTGCAGGGGCTACACAAGGCCTTTTTGCTCAATTAGCTCCGCCCCATTTTACCTGCAGCCAATGCTGGGCCTGGAGGGAGAATAAAAGGAGGGAACCTGGCTCAGTTTAGGACTGACTAGCAAAGGGGAGGAGCTGTTTCTGCCGTCCACAGGATCTGAGCCAGAGCTGTCAGCTGCAGGAGGACACAAGCCTCTCTCCTTGGCCTGCCAAAATGCCCAGGTGCAAAGGGGGAGAACCAGAATCATAGAATCATAGAACTGG